TTCTAAAAAAGTTCTTAATTCTAAGAACTTTTTATCATCAAATAGACTTCCGTATTGCATTGCTTAATCAATGATTGCCTTTTCCTGCTCGCTCTTAAAATGGAATCAATTTTGGAGTTCTTGTGCTATGCGCTACTAAATTTACTAGTGAAATGTAACTAATGAATCCGTTTAATCACTAATGGCAATTGTCACATCATTCTCCTCCCTTATATTTATTTATTAATATGTCAGTAAAATAGAAAATAACTATTTATTAATGTGTGTCGTCCATAAATAAAAATAATAACTCAGCTTGTCATTAATTATTTTTCAATTCATTTCAAATTCAAACTGTCCTCCTAAAACTGGAGTTGACCTGTTTTTAGCAACTCCTGCTCTGACACCAAAATCTGCTCAACTCCATGACTCCTGACTCCACAGCCCTGGTTATAATACAGCAGACAGCTCTTCGTTTTTAAGACCCTAATAACTAATAAGCCCGCGATTCTGTAACAATCAAATAATGAACATGTGAATTTTGCTATGGTTTGAAATGCATGGTACTGAGGATGGGAGAATTAAACAGAAGAAAATAAATCTAATTTTAAAGTTATATATACAGTTTGAGACTTAACAAAATAAGATTGAGTAAAACTAAATAATAATTAAATAATATTAAATGAAAGATTAAGCAAAGGTGAATCGATTACTTTATTAAACTTTGCACGACCATGTGCAGAAAAGTTAACAAAATGTAAAATTAATCAAAAACTTCACAATTTCTTGTGTAAAAACATAATTAAACATTAATAATAATGCCTAAAACATAATAATAAATTGTGTCAAATTTAATGCTAAAGAATGTGCTTCCATTTGCTTCAATGAGCTACCTCATGTAGGTAGGAGAAAATTTACCTGATACATTTTTTTTTTCCTCTTGCCTATAATCTGTTACATCCATCAATCATCTAATGAGTATTGGAATTTTGCATGCTCTGAAAGGCAAATATAAAATAGCCTTTTAAAAGTCATTGCAGATTTAAGATAATTCAAGGATTCTTGATGTATTTTAATACAAAAATCTGCTGTGCAGCAAGATTATGAGAAGACAAATCTATAGATGTTTTAAAAATACTTAGTATTGTTTTTAGCTATCTACCCAATTTCATGATAGTGAAAGCTGCAGATTTCGAGATTTTCAGATAATATTGCTTATAAATAGCAAAATTTTTTTATTATGGAGTATGTGAAGAAATGCTAATCAAAGATAATATAACTAGACCTCTATTACAATGACATTGTCCTAATCATGGATCATTTAATGGGTGACAAAATCTGTAGTTAGTGTCCTAATCATGGATCATTTAATGGGTGATGAAATCTGTAGTTAGCCAAATTGGTGAAAAATATTACCATTTTGGCTTTGAATAGCATTTTAATTTTATGAAGTGGTTATTTCAACAGTCTTCCATTGTGCAGAATATTGCTTTCTTGAAAAAATAGGATAACTGCTTCTTATTGCTTGGCAAATCCTGAATCATAAATAAACCCTTTCATTTAAAAAGAAAGAAAGAAAGGGGGAAAAAACTAAATGGATAAAATCATGTTTATGTTAGGAAAGAAGCCAAACCAAACTGGTGATGCTAGGGGGCTGTGAAAATATGCGAAACAAAAAAGCACCTAGGTTGATTAATGGAACATATGAAGGTAAATCCAGAAAATAATCCTACTGATTGTGTCTTCACTATCAGTGACAGAAGTTATTGATATTCAAAAGATTTCAGTTGACTATTTATTAGATATTCTTGACATGCTAATTGTATTGAACAGGAAATTATGCCCATTTCTAAAAGAAAGAGTATTAACATACACACCTAACAAAATTAACAACTTATGTTGAAAGAAATATTGAGTAAAATAAATGTTAACGTTGATCTTCCCTCCCTTTTTTTGTGTTACAAATTTTGGTTTTCTTAAGGTCATAAATAATTAATTTCATATTTTTAATTTTATACTGTCTGTCTTTGTCATCTTAACTAGATTTAAATTAATGATTTAAAATCTGATGTCACCTAAGCCTCAAAAGTTCTGGATCTTAGCTGTATGCTGTCGTGTGAATTTTTTTTAATTAGAAAATGAAGGTAAAGACTTTTTAATGTGCAAAGACAATTTAGCAAATAGCTGCAAAATCCAAAAAATATTTAGCTATTTATTCGAAAAGCATTCTGCATTTATTCCATCCAGTTACAGAAGTAACAGCCAATTTTTAATTTCTGGTGATGCATGCTTGCTTTACAAGCATGGTGATGCATGAACTGAATAAGAATTTTACATGGTGATCTGTGTGTTCTAAAATCCATATACCAATAAGCTATTGTCCACAACATTTTTAGCTGAAGTGCCAACCCACAGAGACTGACGGGCTTTTTCAATACAGGAAATATTAAAAATGAACTGTGAAGAAAAATCACTGAGTCTTTTTTTAAATTAGTGCTTTATTCTTCACTTATATTATTTTTTATATAATAAAGTTTTTACATTATTGTATTAGTAAGGGTATGTCAGCATCATTTTACTCTGCTAAGTAGTCAAGCAACAGAAATAAGGAGAAAAAAAAATGTTTTGAGAAAAGAGATTCTGCACATTGTACGTAATCAAATTTGCATATCATAGGAACATACTTTTCTGACTACGTGTAGAAAAAGATTATATATTTATATATAAACTGATTTTTTATGCAAAGAGAAAAAAGGGAAATTCTTATTCATTTACCTTTAACATTTCTTTCCATTAAAAAAAAAAAAAAAAAAAACTTAAGTAATATGAATACAGACTTCAACTCTTCAAAAATCTGGTTATGGCTCTTGAACATATTTGAATTTCAACATCTAGCTCCTGTCATGAAGTTTGCCCACCCTTGTTATATAGGATATATTCAGGAGAAGCAATATAGTAAACAGCAACAAGTTGAGACCATTCACGAGGAGAATTAAAGCTTATAATAGAACTAAAATAATATATTTTTAGAATGGCTGGAAAGAGGTTAGTGATTATAACTGCCGTACAGAAGGGCTGAGGTTTGAATCCAGGAGAAGGCATGACGTTAATTTTCTGTTCCTTCATATTAGGCAACGGTGGTCCACCTATTAGTTGCCTTTATAATAAAGGACCACCGTTTCCAACTTTAGTACTGCCTACTGCCCACCATTAGAAATAATAAGAATTAAAAAAGTATTTATAGAAGGACTTCTATTTCTTTAATGAGTTCACATTATTGTTGTGAAAAATGTATACATATATAAAAAAATTTTCGAGATATGACTTCATTAAAAATTAAAAATGCTTTTCATATTTCAGGTGCTGATATTGATACGCTGTGCGTTGCGCCAAGACATGTAGACAGATCAGATTTTTTTACATCTTTTGTTGACTTGTTGAAAGAACAGTGTGAAGTGAAAGATCTCCGGGTAAGCCTGAGGAATGTATATTGGAATTATTTATTTGCAATAATAAGTTAACATTTATATTACTTATCAGATTTTTTTTCTGAATTTTATATTTCAGAGAGTGTTGTAAGTATGAATTATGTTTTTATGTAGTCATTTAATTTTGTGCATGCTAATAAATTATTATATACTTAGTTTCACTCGTAATAAGGATTAAAGAAAAATAATTTATCATAATGTAAAATATTGTTATATACATAAGTTTTGTTAAGCTGTATTTGAGTGTATAGAATTGTGCTTATAAATTATAGTAGCATTAAATATAAAGTATCAGTAGCTGCAGGCTTGTCTCTTTTTTTGTTTTCCTGTCATCTGTTTTGATACTTGTTTATTAGCTGGATACAGAATAAATTCGTAATATGTAAGAGCAGGAAATTTGGTAAATTACGAAGTACCCTTGACAAATAAGCAGTGGGTGTCTTTTTGGATAATTAGCCGATATCTGAATATGGAAAATGTATTATGAGCAAATTTTAAGTTCTCAACTGTAACTCTTTTTTTAGTTCTTCTATGCATACTTCCCAGAAACTAAATATATTGTAGATCCTTTAAGATACATTTCAAAGAAATACTAAAAGTATTGTTTGGGTATGTGAGGGAAATTGTTAATCTCGTAAAATATCCTTTGCTTCAAATAAAGATGAATAACTTAGCTTTTATGTTTGGTAAATAACCTTCTTCCATTTCGATTCTTGGTCCATTATTGTTTTGCAAAGTTTGTGTAACAGTGTGGCACAAACCTGTGTGTGTAATTATTCCAAAACTACTGTTTATCAGTTATGAGTATAAATTGGTTTTCTATATTATTTATGTTTATTCTATTAAATGTTTTCTATTTTCCACCAACATCAGTAAGTATGAATGCATAAATTGTTTGTACCTGACGTCAAGAAGAAGCTTTGAATCTATTATCTACATGCATTAATAGACAGTCTTAGTTGTATGTTGATCACTGCTAATTATGATTTTTGTAGTATTGTAAAAATATGCAATAACTTGATATGTCTGTTGTTTATTTGAGTGGAAATGACTGTGGTCAACTCTAGTTAATTGGACCTTGTTTAAAAAACATTAAGTTTGTTTATTGTAGAACAGTGGAAAAATTACTATCACAAAATACCAGAATATGCAAAACACTTTTATAGGAAATAAAAAAGGAAATTGAAATAACATGGGATAACAGCAGATGATGTCAGAAGATTCAGGAATTGGGTTCTTACATATTTTCTTGTCAACCATGAAAGTTGGTGGAGATGTGTAAATCGTCCCTGCTTAGAAGGAAATGACTCTTTTTTATTAATTAAACAATCAGTATTCGGCTTTATTTCTGTGCTTCGTGTAAAGGTTTTTGCAAGTTTCTACTGTTTTGTTAGCTCTAAGATTTACTGGAAGCTCTGTTAGATTGAGTACAAACTTCTCGCAGGTAATTGTTTCATTCTTTTACTGTTTTGTTGGCCATATCCAGCTGATTATATCATATCTGTTAAAACAGGTGCTAAATCACATTGCTTGGTGACAGTTTCATTGTTGAAGGGCTAATGCATAAGTACCAAGCATTGTTTTGATCTACTGCAGCACATAATTAAATTATCCATAATCTGGAATATATAAACAATGTTAAATCATCCATTGAAAATAAATTCCCAAATTGTAAAAATGAATTTCACTATACAGCCATAAATTTTCTGTTTCTCGTTTACTCTTATCAAAATATAAGACTAATATTTGAAGCATTGTGAAGAAAAAAAAAAACACATTGTTTTTCCTGTTTTGAATGCTTTTTAATTTATGTAGTCAAAAGAATTTTCTTCAAATTAATTTGCTTAAAAATGCATGTACATTATTACTGCTAGTTTTCTGTTATTCCTCTTCCTCTGTTTTTTTAACTGTTGGATTAACTGTGAATTTTGGATTAAGCATGGACATTGATTGTACCAATTATTACCTCAGTGAATTGGGAGTCTATGGTAAAATACATGTAGTTAATATTTTATTGTTTAGTGACACGAGACTGTAAGTACATATTTAAGAATTTTCATATTTGAGGATTATTTATGTTTCATCCTTTTTGCACACTGTAAGTTATTTATTTTTTGGTGAAACATAAGTAATTATTTTAAATGGGAAGTCATTTATAGTGGATGGCTTACTTAGTATATGAGGATTAAGTACTACTGCTTTGAGTTGTGTTAATGAAATGAAATTCCATCTGTTAGTGTATCATGGCTATTAAATCTTTTTTAAGGAAGTTGAAGGCAATTTAAATACATCTTTAAAAAAATTCTGAATGTGTATTTTTATATGAATTAATTAAGAATTAGTAGCCATATAACATTTTTATCTTTTATGGCTCGTATTTAATGTGTTATCTGTTTTTTTAGACTGTAGAAGAAGCATATGTGCCTGTCATCAAAATGACTTTTGATGGAATTGAGGTAAAGTTTTGAATGCTTTATAGTATCTCTTTTCTTCTATCTTATGCAGTAACTTGCTCACAATTAAAATGCAACCTTCCTTTCTTTTAAAAAGATCTCTGCACAAGCTTCGTTTTATGAATTTATTGTATTTATTAAATCGTCTCATTTTTAACATCATCTGGTCTCGTAGTGCAGCAGCAATAGGTGATATTTTTCTTTGGTGTGTTTCCGTCTTTGACTGAAATTCTGTGCAAACATGTGCATACTTCTAAATATGTTTATAGTTATTTCTGCAAATAGAATCAATCTTTATTTTAAATTAAATAACATGTTTGGGAAAAAAAAAAAAAAGATTAGATTTGTAGAATTATTTTTAAATAGGAATTTCTTTAACAGATTTTGAAAATATATAAATATTATGAATTTTTTTTTAAATGTGAAATATTTGCTAGTCATCAAATTCATTGTCTAGTGATAGCATTATTTGCAAAATTGAAAAGCATTATATAAATAGTTGTTGTAAATTTCCACCTGAGGTAATTTCCGAATTTTTATCTGTAGAATCAAGAACTGGATTCTAGATAGGAATTTTTGTATAGATACCATGCTCAGAAAGAATTATTTATTTAGGAGAGGGGGAAATTTAATTAAACAAAATCTTTTTACTTTGGAGCTATAATTTATACTTTTTTATACTTGGAGTTGTTGTTTCAAGGAGGCATTTACTATGTAGGGAGATAAGTTTTAGTGTAATTTCATCACACATTTTCGTCACCAATCCATAGGGAAATTCAGTTACTATTTGCTGATATTTGTTCCTATCAACAAAGTGCTTTCCACCCTGAAAAATTTTTAATTCTTTGAAACGATGCTAATCACTGCAGGCAGTCCATTCCATTTACTTTAGAATGTGCTATCAGAAGTGTTGCATAAGTACTGCTGCATGCAGCCAGAATTTTTGGTGAAAAGATCTTGCGAACAGTGAAGAGCTTGAATAAATAATGACTGCATTTCTCATTAGCTTGGAAATAGAAGTACTGTAATTTCTGAAGGAAACACTGCAGCATTTACATGTTTAAAACGTAAGCTTTTAGCAGAACGAGGTATTTTCTACTGATGCAGTGCTTACATGAACTTAAATATTCTGCAAGGGATTGTAAATAGCTTGGATCACTTTGATGCAGTGGCTAGCTATATCTGATTATCGACATGTCAATGATAATTTTTAAAAGGAAAACTATTCAGAAGAGAGATTTTCTTAGTGCTGTAATTATTTGCACAAGCAAAAATGGATGGATTGGATGTGAGGAAAAGTCATGCACGAGTGGCTAAAAAAAGTTGAGCAGTGTTTTAAGGTATCTTTTTTTCCAACTAAAATGATCATTGATGATGGATTCCATGCATTTTCATTTACTTTATTCAGTGAAATACAGATGTCAAAAATTGTTTTAGACCTTAGCAGTAATTTCTGATGGCTTGACAAAAGTCTTGTTACGATTAGAATTGCCAATCAATAAATCTTTCAAAGTTGAGGTCCAAACATGATGGGAGCGTTGGTTGTGTGAAGGATTATGTATGTATATCAGAAAGGGTGGCAAAATACATGAAGCATCTTTTGAAGAAGTTGCAAAATGGTGTGTGAAAATCAGTGAGAATATTGTCTGTAGTATCAGGATTCAAAGAAGCTGAAGTCATATCTCCGGATAAAAAGACTGTAAACTAAGAGGTTGAATGTGACAATCTGGCATACTTGGATACTGGCATACTCAAATCAAGATTTGTTAAATCTTTTTAAATTCAGATAGTGAAGAATCGTATTTTGATGGCTTCATACGATGTACAGTTTAGTGCAATTATTTTTGTTGGCAAAAGTAAAATTAAATTTTCTCATATCATTCAATTTAATATCTTGTTCTTTCAGTACTTTTTATAACATATTATGACTATTATATATATGGACCTTAACCTGTAATTTTTCTTTTCTTTTCTTTTTTTTTCCCTTTTTTTGGGGGGGGGATGTTTTATTTCATGCATTTTTTTTTTAACTAATGTGTTATGTATATTACTGCATTGGTCAAGATTTTGCAACTGTGACGTTTATGGCAATGGTACATGCAGTTGAATTTAGTGTGGCATTTATGTGCAATCTTAGTTTTTTCTGCTAGTTTCCTTGTGTGCAGGGCTGGCCCCCATGCGGTAAAATCGCTGAGCACTGGTAGTTCGGTCCGAAGTTCGAATCTCGCGAATGGACTGGCTGCATGGGTGTTTTCATGGTGTTTTCCCCATGTGTAACGTGTATACGAGCCAGTTTCTCTTAGAAAGTCCTCCACAAAGGCATCCCTCCCCTTAGGCAGATAGCCATAGTGTGCTTTGCCGTAGTTAAATACACCACTCAACACCTTGTGTGCAGCGTTTAGGCTGTTGTGCCCTGTCTTACAGAAATTATGTTAGATAAAAGTTTGTGTAAAAACTTACCTGTGGCTAAAGTATATTCTTCATACATTGTACCCATGTATTGATTCCAAAGTGTATGTACTTTGAAAGTAAAAATATTTTGTTCATTTTTTTAATATCATATGACTATTACTATCTGAATGTGCTTAATATATGTGTTCTATATATACCTATTCATAAAGTTCAAATTGCCATAAATTCACAGAACAGTATTTACTAGCCACAAAAGAAAGTCTGTAACACTATATACTTATAAGAATTTAAATATACTACTATTCGTCAGATATATTATGAAATTTGTATTTTCTTTTATTAGTTTATTTTTTAAATATTTTTAGTATATTGAGAAAATACCATAAGGCTATTACATGTTCCTTAAGATGTTATTTAAAATATTTGGAAGGATATTGTAAAGAATAGCTCAGTCTCATATTTTTAGAGGTTGTACCAATGCTCTGCCTCTTAATTTTTTTTTAATTTTAAGAGTAATTTGAATACCAATTTTTGATAAACAAAATATGTCTTATAAACATATCATATTGAGATTTTTATGAATATTTTTTAAACTTTTGATATGTGTAGTCTGTACCTGAATGTTCAAATTCAGAACTTTAAGTTGTTATACTGTTCCTGTGTAGTTATGATTTGAAGATAGAATGAGATCCCCCCCTTTTTTTTAAATTATCTTTTTTTTTTTTTTTTTTTTTTTTTTTTTTTTAGCTTGACATGTTGTTTGCTCGTTTGGCTCTGAAAGACATACCAGAAAATCAGGATCTTAGAGATGTTAGCCTGTTAAAAAATTTAGATCCAAAGTGTGTTAGAAGTTTAAATGGTAAGTATCTGGTATTTTGTTTACTATCACTTTTAGAGACATTTAGTACATTTGAAAGTAAACATTTTTAATCTGGTATATTTAACATCCAGCAAAAAGATATTTGAAAATCTCTGCTTATAAATTTGATCTGTTTGAAATTTGTGTTTGTTTTTATTCCTTATTTTTCCTCTTTTTTCAATACCTTTTAACATCCTCGTATTAAAAAAAAAAAAAAAAAAAAAAAAAATCTGTGATACAATTCAAATTGTTGTCGTGTTATTAGACTAAATTTTATCTTTTATTTTGCAATTATCATTATTCTCTTGACATAATTTAAAGTCACTTTATAGTGAACAAATGTGTACACATGCATAAACAGAATTTTAAGAAAAGTCAGGGATTACCTCTTTGGGGTTTTAAACTAAGCAACTTTCCAAACCCGTATTTATAATTGATGAACATGTTACTAAGAAATCATTAAGGAAATTTGGCTTAAAGAGATACATCTAGTACTAAATTATAGAATGGGCAAACAGTACTTGTTTTGCAAGACATAATATTTTGATTTAAAAAGTACTTAAACAGTACTTTTTAGTTGATATCTCTGATGTGCTTGATAACTATATATTTGTAGATATATTATTTGCACTTTCTATTTAACATAAAATGAAGTTTATATATGTTATGAAAAAGACTTTACAATATTGGTGGTGTAGAATGTTGATCCATAGTGAGTAGGAAACTGGCAGCTGAGGCAGATTAAATCTTCATTTTCATTTCAATTGGTGTTACCACAAATGTTTTCTTCATGTTGTGGCCACAAACAACTTAGCACTGTTCCTGTTTCAAAATATACATTTTTTATAGCTTTGTAGTAAGAAGAGAGCTGCAGCCCAGCTAAACCGGAAGGGTAGAAAGCATAGAAATCAAGAGTAAATCTTAATTCATACTGAGTAGTTTTGGTTTTCAATGCATTTTGATTGGATAATTAATACTAGCATAAAATTATAACTAATGGGTGTTATAGTTTTGGTTCCATTTAAGTCATCAGTGTAATAATGCATGAGTCATATGACATGGAATAGTCTGGAAATGACACAGTGCAGAAAAAGATTACTGTTTGTAGAATAGAAAGGAAATAAACTATTTAAAATTAAGCATTAAGCGACTATTGCTGAATTAAATTATAATTTATCTTTTACATATTTTTATCTTATATAATATATATATATAATATATTGAAGGCAAGATATCAGTTTTATTGTTGATCAGTCTTTAGTTTCATATTCTCAATCACACATAAATATTTTATAGTTACTCAGATATTTAGACATTAGGTGAAATAGAGCAAGAGGAAAGTTCGAAAGTGACTGCTTATTTAACAGCAGTGATATTTAATCATTTGAGTTGGTTCTTTGTTAAAATATTGATGTGTGATTGGATAAAAAAATACCCACAATGCTGCATGATATGTGTGATAACATGATAGATTGATTTTGAGATGATGCAATTTAGATTCATTAGGACAGGAAGGGGAATTAATTAAAATGAGGAATAAAAAGGACTATTTTCAAATTAAAGTTGGTAGTTTTCTTTCAAAATTAGAACTTACATATTTTCCCTTCTTCAAAGAGAAAAAGACTTGGCAACAGAAAAGCATATGCAAGACTGATAAATATAGTCCTTGTTTGATCATTGAGTAAAAGTTTGTAAATTTTGTGTTTTGAAAATGTCAAATTATTTAATTTCTAGGGAAATGTTGTGGAAAAGAAGAAAAACTGTTTGGGAGTGCACTGCAGTTCGTTAATTGGAGATTTCTAGACGGAAGTTCCCTGTACTGGTTCAGGAATAATTAAGTTAATATTTCAAATGAAATACAATTCCTTTTCTCTGTTCTTTTTCAGTTTTTTTTCTTTCAGGAGGGATGGGAATAAAATGTAATGTGCAGTGGCAGATATTTGTTTTCAGATACTTGTCTTGGGGTTTTATTTGCAAATATCAGTTATTAAATATTAGTGTAATAACTATTTTTTCTAACGTGTATTATGATCATCTTTTTTAAAATCAGCATGTTTTAAAAAATGTTCCTCAATGTTTTTGATAAAAAAATTATTAAAAAGTTCTGAGAATCCTTACTAATAGTGTAAATGCAAATATGAGGGAGTTTGTTATGCTTGAAAGTCATGTTATCAAGAGTTCATAAAATGAATATCGTTTAAAATTTCTTTTAAAGGGAAAGAAAATATCTTTTGGTGCATGTAAATTAATTAATGGGTTAGTTATTTTGAGCCAAAGAAAAACTATGAAAATCCATTTTTAAATTATTGCATAAAATCAAAGTAGAAACGTTTTGTCAAAGAACGTTTCTTCTTAACACGTGCTCCTTAATTTCCCGTATACATCGCAAAGAGGGAAGTTCTGGGTGCCAGGTTCCATCTCCAAATCCCTTGGCAAATTTTCCCTCCGCTTTCTAGCGGCGTAATAGCATTACATTTATGGAACCTTTTCTTCTGTATATAGACATTCTTTAGTTAGAGTAACCTCTATGCTCGGTACACACGAGAATTCTCAACATTACAATGAGCAGTAAGCTGGTCATTTTGGTTTTGGTGACAATTTTCAAAATCGTGAGTAATCAGTCATTTAGGCTAACCATGTAATATAAGTATATTTGCTAAAATATCATTGATTATTCTAATTCAATTTTTAAGTAATTATCCTTATGTTATTTGTATCATTTAATGTTGCTAAATTTCAGGAAATTTTCTGTGGCATAATTCTGAAATTAATTCTAGCAGTATGATGACATACCATCACGAAATTTAATGCACATATTTTTTGCTTATGTATGCTGCAAAATAAATATAAAATACCTGAATTTATTTAAAAAATATCATTAAATAGATTTCTTTCTTTCATTTAGCTGCAAAATGTCTGCAAAAAAAAAAAAAAAAAAAAAAAAAACTTTTATGTATTCCAGATAGGGCAGATTATAATCTCAATCTTCCGTGGAGAAAACAACTCCTATTATAATTATAATAGTAATGCTTTGGGGATATAAGTCATATTTAATTGGCAAATTTTTGTGTTTTCGAGTAATACCATAATTAATTTACAATTTAGCACAGCCAATGTGCATTACGGGAATAGACTGGAATTTTCTTAAAACACATCTGGAATAGTCAGAAAATTTCATTCTCCTGTTTGAGTGGCAACCCTGTTTCAAAAAATGTCGATAACTATTTTTTAGTAATATGGATATTAATGTAATAAAGCTCTTAAGAGATATTTTTCACAATCTAAGTGGAAAAAATAAAGGACAGTGCTTTCTTTCATCATACAGTATTGTTATTAATGTAATAGTTGACTGGTAATGGAAAATAACATCAAAATAATTTTTATTTATGGTGCGTTTTGGTTATGTGATATTTGGACTATGACAATAAATTTGGAATTTGAGGAAAATGAACCATGTCAAAAGAAATGTAAAGTTTTTGATAAATGAAGATAATATTTAAAAAAAAAGTTTATGTATGTTTTAATTTTTATAGGTTGCCGTGTAACTGATGAAATACTGCATCTAGTGCCTAATCGGGAAAGTTTCAGGCTGGCTTTGCGCTCTATAAAACTTTGGGCTAAAAGTAAGTAATTTTTGTACATGTAGATACATGCAAATATATGCTTACATTTTGTTAATTTCAAAGTTAGTTTAAATTGCATAACTAACAAACCCCTCAAAAATCTTTTTTTTTAGAGCATGGTGTATATTCTAATGTTTTGGGTTATTTGGGAGGAGTATCTTGGGCCATGTTGGTAGCCAGAACTTGCCAGTTGTACCCTAATGCCTCTGCAGCTACTTTAGTTCATAAGTTCTTTCTTGTATTTTCTCAGTGGTAAGTTCCATACTTATTATGTAGCAAAATGGCTCTTAATATATATTGTAGTGTTTTCCTTCAATGATGCAATAGAATGAAGATAAGTCTAAATAAATCTTTTTATTAACCAGTTTCATAGATTCATAACTATTGGTATTATTGAAGCTTATACAGTTCTCGTATTTTAAATAGGCAGGTGATTTTTCTTGTAAATAAAAAAAACATCTGGCTAGTGAGTCAATTCGGATTTATTTTTTTAAAATTTTTTTATTTTTCAGCTGCTGTATAATAAAAAAGGAGTTGCCCTTTTCTTACCGTTCATCATTTACTTGTGATATTTTAAGGTGAAAAACATGTCAGTAAGATAAAGAGCATTTACGACACTGCATTTTGTATGAATTCCAAAAAAGGAAGCAATGCATCGGTTGCATGTAAGAATTTATGTGCGGTATTTGGAAAAGATATTGTAAATGTTCGTACTTGTCAAAGATGGTTTAGCAAATTTCGTTCCGGGGACCTGAGCCTCAAAAGAAGTGTTCAATCTGGACGACCATCCAAGATCGAAAATGATGTTTTGCGATCCATGTTGGAAAATAATCCACATTTAACAAGTCGAGAAATTGCAGAAGAGTTTGGCATTCATCATACAACTGTTGGAGATCACATTAAATCTCTTGGGTTTGTGTTAAAGCAAAGTGTTTCGGTTCCACATGAATTAATGGAAAAGAATTTGTTTGATCGTGTAAGAATATGTTCATCACATCTGATTAGACACAATGTGGAGCCGTTTTTGGACAGGCTGGTTACTGGAGATGAAAAGTGGATTCTTTACGAGAATATTAAAAGAAAAAAATCTTACTGCAAACCAGGAACATCATCAGCAACAGTTCCAAAACCAAGTATCCGTCAACGAAAAGTACTGCTTTGTTTGTGGTGGGACAGGAAAGGTCCAGTGTATTACGAGTTGCTGAAACAGGGAAAAACCATTCAACGCAGATCTGTACTGCAATCAGCTGGATAAATTGAATGCAGCTATCAAAGAAAAAAAAGGCCAGCATTAGCGTCCAGAAAAGGAATAGTGTTCCGCATCACGATAATGCTCGACCGCATACTGCAACGGTGACACACTACAAAAACTGGGATGCGTTAGGATGGGGAAGTCCTTAGTCACCCACCGTATTCACCTGACATTGCACCAGCTCTGATTATTACCTGTTCAGATGTCTCTGCAAAATTATCTAACGGGAAAAAAAACTTCAAGTCTTTTAAAAGTTTTTCTAAGAGCAGTTGCTGACTATTTTAACTCCATGGATGAGAACTTCTACTAAACAGGAATTTACAGGTTACCTGAAAGATGGCAACAGGTTGTAACAAATAACGGAGCATATACTATTAATTGATTAATATTAAACACATATTTTTATAAATGAATTCAAATATTTTCTTTAAAATACGACAGAACTTTCCCTCCAACCCAATATTTTATTGTGATAGTAGCTAATAAAAAGTAATATTTTTAGAATTTTGACAGATATAATGTTTATATCTCATAGGAAACAACCATTTTTATCCCTAAAAACAGAAGCCTTGAAAATAAAGAAGCTGTTTTTTTTATTACTTAAAATTTTGATAATAAGAGACAGGATATACATACAAATATGCAGAAAATTTGTATTACTTTATTTTGTCATCAAATCTTTTTCGATTAGTGCATTTACTTATTTAAAAATCTAAGCTTCATGTGTTAATTTTATTGAAGTATAAATGTTATATGTGTAGGTTGATTACTACTCTTGACATCATATCATTATGCTTGATAATGTCCTGAGTAAGTGGTTTTGCCAGATTATTGATGGTTGCATTATAATATAATTAACTGTTGATTTATTTATTCTACCTTAAACAATACCTCCAAGTAAGTGGATATTGTTTAAAATGAGGAAACGAATGAAATTTAATAAAGCACAAGTATCATAAAGGTTGCAAATGATTCTGTTGGATTAATGTGAATTTTCATCACTGCCATTTCCAGATATCTGGAATTTTCGCAGCAAAACTCGTATTTCAAGATGAAAGGTTGTCAGAATTATTCTCATGTTAGATGATGACTGAATTATCAGGAACTGATAATGTTGATCTGCAATTCTGTCTTTTAAATTAGTGCCATGTTATTAATGGTTAAAGTACGTAATTTTTTGTGGACTTAAAGCTTGGCTGTTATTTTTAAAGGCCATGCTTAGTATTTGGAAAATCTGTTCATCTCCAAGTAACTGCAGAACAGACCCAGCTACATTTATTCATATAGTGTTCTAGCTGTGGTAAAATGGCCATGCAGAGATATTAACACATCTACGAAATGACAACAATCACGATGTCTTGTACTGACAAATTTCAAAGCTTAGCACTCCTATCTAAAAAATTATGAAAGAGATTGAGGGGGAAAACTGAAAGTTGTAGTTTAGTATCAAAAGTATCACCAATTTATTATCAAAACACATAAGCATTGTAGCGTAAATATTCTTTTTTACTGTCTAAATTGTCTGAAAATGATGCTTGGCATTTTGTTGCAGTCATTTCAAGAATAAAGATGCAGTCATTAGTATAAAAATATAATGGATAGTGAATGTATCGGGTTTTAACAAAAGTTTCCTTCTGCCACAAGTATCGCCTGCGCAAACGGTTCATGTTGGCATGTTTCATCATATTTGTCAAATGATTTTTGCCATTTGAAAGAAAGAGACTTTCTTAAGAACACTGTGCTGTGAAATTTGTAAAACAGTATTGTTATCATTAAATACAAGGTGTCTGAAATGGAACTATTATGTGACCAGATTAGAACCATCATTTACTTCCAATTCTGTTGCAAAAAGTAAGCTACAAAATGTCACCAAATCTTGGGTATAGCATTAGGTACTGATGTTGTATCATGTGACTGTGAAGTGTTTGGTACTGAAAGTTAAAAAAACAAGGACTGTGACATTCAAGAAGGAGAATGCTCTGGCTGCCCTACTTATGTTGATGAGGCCCACCTGCGAAAACTTGTGGAAGATCAGCATGCAACTATTTGAGAGCTTACTAAGGAGTTAGGTGTTAATGCCATGTTCATTACTCATGCTATGCATTGCATAAACTTGACGTACAAGTTCAGTGGCTGAGTGCTGCATGAGCTGACTCAAGCAGATAAGGACAGACATATTTGGGGCTGCACTAATCTGAGCGATTATCAACGCAAGGACAAAATTCTGGACCAGATCATCACTTGTAATGAAAAGTGGATTTATTTCAACAACACAGGCTGAAAAAGGGGGTTGGTCTGAGCCTGGTGAGCTTGTCGCAAAGCACAATTTGACTGACAAAAAAATTCATGCTTTGTATCTAGTGGGATTGCTGCGGTATTATCCACAAAGAGTATCTGGGAAAAGTAAGGTACTTTTAACAGTAAGGTGTACAGCAAGATGCTAGTCCGTGTTGAGGCTGCTATCAAGGAAAACATTAAGCTGAGTTCCAGGGCAAAAAAGGTAATGTTCCATCAATATAATGCAAGACCACATGTGTCTGCATTCTCCAAATGGACTTTCAGACTCAAATGGGACCTTTTGCCAAACACACCATATAGCCCTGACATTGCTCCTTTGGATTTCTACCTTTTCTCATACGTGCAGCTACATCTTGCTGGTTCTAGCTTCCATTTTGCACAGTATGTCCAAAATGAGTTTGATCTGTTTTTGGCCTCGTGTCCACCAAGTTTTTGGGCTGAAGGCTTTGAAAAATTACCAAAACATTGGCAGAAAATCACAGATTTGGGTGGTGCTTACTCCCCACACAAAAGGTACTGCTTTCATGTTTTTTTCCTAACTTTATTAAGAACATTTTTTAGCAGAAAGAATTATCGTTACAGCCGGATGTTTTGTATCAATACAACTTGATGATATTAACCAGTGCAAAATTTATAATCAACCAGTGCAAAATTTATAAATAGGCCTGCACTACTTGCAAGGTAATGTGGAATGGGACATATATGTCCTGCACATGCGCAATGTTAAATGAGTCAAGAAATTTCAATAAGTTGAGATTTAAAATTTAATCTTTAATATGAAGTAGGAAGTGTAAGATCCTGTTGATTTGTTTTTCTGCTGCTTCCTGTAAAAAAAAATCTGACTAAATGGCAATAATAAATAAAAAATTGGTATCTATGTTGGCACAGGAAAAGGTTACGTATGCTGTAAGAGGTTACCATTGGATACAATGCACATTCGTATTTTTAAAAAGAAATCTCCGTCATGTTCATGAATATGAAAGGGGTTGCTCTTGTATGCTGATATGATAATGTAGATATAAAATGCAAGTAAATGTCGTGTATTTAATTTCTTATGTAGTCCTAGAGTCGATTTAGTCTTAATTTTATCCAAATTCAGCAGGAGGTCCTTAATTTTAACCCTCTGAGCGTTACGGGTTTAGCCCTGAAATTTCAAAGTTCCTCAAAATGTCACGAATAAGTGATATTTTCTTGATTTTAATTAAAAAAATATTCTTTCATTTTGTACCTTGATTCCTTTTTTCCAATATACATCCAAACTGAAATCGGATACATTAAAAGCTAGCAGAAATTTTCATGTATAATGAATGTGGAAGGCAACCTTCTGTACGGAATTTTCCGGTCGTTATGCTGAGAGGGTTAATCATCTGAAATTTCTGTCTGGTTTTACGACATCCATTTTGAACAACTGTTTTTGGGGATTCATTGATAAATAAAGGTATCTTTTGAATGGGTGAATAGGTTCTCATGGATTATAATTTGTTCCTATTTTTAAAATAAACGGTAGGATACTCAAGTTTCTGAGCAAGAAGTGAAACATAAGTGTCAAAATTATTTAATTTTTTCTAATAAAGAGCTCTAGAACAACTTTTCACTTTTGGAAATATGAATTCTTTATTAAATGATTTATTATGGTTCCTAAATTCTGCTGCCCAGTGCCTTTCTAAAATTTTGCCATTTCTAGATTTTATTACTCAGTGTGTTACTAAATTCTAAAAATTCTGTTACACCGCCAGTGTAACCGGCCCTTACCATACATCATTTCATATTTACTCTAAATGTTTGTATTACTAAAGAAACAAAACTAGCACCTTTTCCTATACATGCTAAAAGCATTTAGTTCTTTAGAATAACAGAAATCTTTAATTAAATCCAAAAATTCTAAAATGAAGAAGAAAGGTATTGAAGAAAAAACTCAATACATAAAGAAAATTATTCTTCAAATATGTACAATTATTATTATGTAAATTAAGCAGTTGCTTGTAATTTCAGACTTTGTTATAATGTTCCATATCCTCACCAGAATGAAAATCACTAAGGTTTTAATTTGTTAGATAGAATTTGTTTCTGTCCTCCATCTGCATGCTGCATTAGTTTTGATCAGCTCTGATAATTTTTAATTATTTGTCTTTGCATTATTCCTGCCAATATTTGAATTTGTTACGAGGTAACTTTGTTTTTACAAGTTTCTTACAATGTGTTACTAAGCCAGCTTAGATTAAAATTAAATTGTGTAATCTTTGACTACTAGTATACATTTTTAGCTTGATTTGATTGTTCCTGTTTAATTGGATCACCATAAGCTGGGTTGATTTTGGTAGCATCAAAACATGCCTTTATGTTCTGAGGTCTTTTTAAATAAGAAGTTTATTTAAACCTTTATCGGACCTTTGTAGTTACTTTCAGACATAGTGATAATTTGCTTCCTGTCATGGGTTTTGGATTATATAACTTTTATCAGATCAAGTAAAACCTCACAGGTACATAGTCGAGAGATTGACAAGTTAGGAGCTAAAACACGCAGAAACTAGTGGGAATATTGGTTAGCATATTGAAACAAATTTCTAAGTGTAAGAAAAGATGGTTAAAGAGAAGTAAATTAATATAAATTAGTCAGAATGTCTGAAAAGACTTCAAATTAAAAAGATGTACAAATATTTTGTTCAGTATTGTTGCTGCAAAACGTAAATGGTTTTGTAGCTTTAAATATGTATATTTAATGTGCTTAAATATGTATATATAATAAATCTTAATATTGTTTAAGTATCAATGTCATAAATTACATGTATTTTAAACTGTGACATGTTAATAGATTGCGATTTTAATAGTACTTTTTTTTAAAAATATTTTAAAAAATAAATTTGGTAGTGCCCATGTAAATCTATAATGGCTAAGGGTATCTAGCTAGCTAATTTAATTATTTGTAAATAACTGGTAAAGTTATCTCTGCATATTAAAGTGAGTCATTGCCTTTCATTAATCTTTACCATGGTCACAAGATACAGCACAAAAATGTGAAACTTAGTTCTTTGCATCTAGTTTTAAAGTAATGCAAAACAATTTATCGCTTCTGGTGCTAAGTTGTTTGGTATTTTTTTAAGGCTTATTGGAACCTTAAAATATATTAACTGGGTTACAACCCCAGGAACTTTACACGAAGTTCCTGGGAATGACATTAACTGCATAATACAGGCAGAGCACAACTAACTTTCAAAACTTGCCAACCATATCTACATCAGGTTTTCAGGTTTGTTCTGATCAGCAGGCCTTTCTCTAGGCAAGCAGCAGCGGTGGCAACAGCCAGTCCTCTGTAACGAATCATGCTGATTATGATTTTACTTCTTATTTTAACCTACCCCATTTGACATAAAATCTACTTGCTATTTACTAAACCTTAAAAATGAGCAAGTACAAAATGAGACATAAAAGAAAAAATCAACTGTTTGTTAGAAGTAAATAAAATTCTTTCAAGTATGTCCAACTATTATAGGGGTAAAATATTAAATGCTACTTAATAGATTTTATGAAGCTGATTTTATTCTCAAGTTTGTTTTATAACTATATTTATTAAATTATGTTTAATGATAATGCATTCTACTTATGGATCTATTTTATTCTTACGATGGTATCACAAAAGTTAAGTTCAGCCATAGCTAATATCTTTAATTGAATTTATTCAGTTCTTATTTGTTGATGAGTCCTTAATTTGTTTTTATTAATGGTCCTTAAAAGTACTTAATTTCCCTCTGCAGAAATTTATAGGAACCCTCAGATGGCCAAGTGGGAAAGTCGCAGAACAGTGATAGTTCAACGTGGGTTTGACTCCCAATAAGCAGGCTGGTTTCATGGGCGTTTTCATTATTTTCGCCATGTGTAATAGGTTTAAGAACCAGTTTCCCTTCGAAGGTCTTTCATGAAGGCATTCCTTTCCTTGGGGAGATAACTCTACTTTCTTTCTCATAAGTAGAGTGGTGACTAGTTACAGCAGCAGCACCACTAAAGCTGTTGATTTGTTCTCCAATTGCATTTATATTTTGATTTGAGGTTCTTGCATATGCATAAGCTTTTAAAATTCATGTTGAAATTCATGAAACAAAATTCATGTTGTGCATAAACAGAATGCCGCTCATTAGTTAAAAACTCTTTAAGCTAAAAGAATATATATAATACCTTCATGTGCAAGTCTAATGGCAGAGGGCACTGCAGCTCATCTCATTTTCTACCGCAAGATCCTTTTATTATATCTAGACGTTGTATTCACATCAGTACTGTGTTCATCAAGTGTATAAAGCTGAACCAAGTTTTGTATTTAAGCTGTACATATGTGTGAATGTTTGAATATAACTTTCTGGTGAAAAATTAGATATATAAATTCTATGTTAGTAGTTTTTTAATGCAGTTTTTAAGGCAGAACATAGAACTGCATTTTTTATTTACTTTGGAACTTTTTGATAACTCTCGGGGAATTTTTTAGGCCTTGGCCAAAACCTGTGCTTCTGAAACAGCCAGAAGAAAATAAACTTGGCTTTGATGTGTGGGATCCTAGAGTAAGTATTTTTTATTACTGGTTTTATTTTGAGCCAACTTATCTTTAATTTAAGTGAAAATTATAAAAAAAAGCTTAAGTCTTTGTGTAAATATGAATCTTTTGATACAGTTTTTAGCATTTATTTTGTAATATAGGCTATTTTGCTAGTGCTACAATGGTTACGTGTAGGATAGTAGTATTGTTTTACTATTATTGTAGCGTTTTACTGTAATTAGTAGGTGTGTTCAGAAAGGAATCGAAAAAATATCGCACAGTTCCTATTTTAGCATGATAAAAATAACTTTGTGTTCTAAGAATGTTTTAGTTTAATTATTCTGATTGATAAATCTAAAATTCTTTTTTTTTTCAGTGATTTTTCAAAAATAGGGTAAATATAAATAAAAAATAGGTTTTTAAAAATGAAATATTTCAATTTCATAGGGTGCATTTACACTGTTGCTTGGTTATTGTTGATATAAAAAAAACTCAACATATTCATATGGGCAAAAAATAACCTGGGGATTTCTGGTCTGAATTGCAGCCAATCATCGAAGTTATACTTGTTCCTCATTAGAATTTTCTTAAATTTTAGATCCATTTGAGTATATTTCAGTAGCATGTTCTGTAAATTTTTAGTTTCCCAACTCCGAGTGGCCTTTGTCAGTGAAAAAATGCGTTGTTCTTCATTCATCATATTGTTCTGTATTATAACTCAGTAAAAGTAAAGCATCAAAATTTCTGTCAAACAGTAACATCTTTGGTAAGTTTAACATGGATAACCTTTCGTGAAAATTGAAAACAACATGCATTTCATTGTTGTTGAACAGTTTTCTTCTATCTTATCACAATTTGGGCATAAAACTGAATATTTGATACTGATAAGATTTTTTTATGTGATTGTAATAAATGTTTTTTGATAAGCATGTAAGCAGCACATCTCATTTTCTGTTTTAAAAATTTTAATTTAACTGTTAACTTTAACATATAACTTAAAGTATAAGATAAAAAGTTTGCTTAGCATTTCTTCACAGATGTATTCTTAAAAAATGTTGAACAAAGCTGTATTTGATGTAAAAAATAAAATCCGTAGATTAAAATTTAATAAAATTTTGAAATTTTTTCCAGATAAATGTGGGTGACAGATTTCATTTGATGCCAATTATTACACCTGCTTATCCGCATCAGAATTCCACATTTAATGTTTCTTTTTCTACACGAACTATCATGCAGGATAGTTTCAAACATGGTATGGATTTCAGAATTGATTTTTTTATGTCTTATATTATTTACCTTTTTGCTCATTTAGCTTTGATTCATTCTTTTGAATGTTTATTTAATACTAGATTTGATTGCTTATGTCAGAATCTCAAATAAAGATTAAATTATGCACTAAAATAGTAGAAATGTTTTTGTGGTAGGTCTTTCTGTTGCTGATGAAATAATGACTGGAAAATGTGGATGGGTGAAATTGTTTGAACCTACAAATTTCTTTTCAAAGTATAAGTAAGTATAATTAATTACAGTGTCAAGATTTTTTTTTTTTTTTGAGGCATAGTTTTAAAGATAAAGTGTGTATTTTACAGGGTTCCTAGTGGTCCTTACAAGTGCTTATGTCTTTATATTTGAAAATAAAATATAAAGGCCCTTATAGGTGCTTACTTTTCCCTAAAGCACTTATTTTTTTGTTTTTAGTGCTTTTTTTTTTAACAAACGACATTTTTCCCCCGTACCAGAGCCGAAACTAAATAAACACTTTTCTTCCTTATCTGGAACGTCAGATGGTGAATCATATTCCCGAAAATAACTTTTCGCCTCTTTCTCTGTATTAATGTAACCTTTTGTGTGCGCGAGTACAGACAGGTGCATGTCGTTCTATAGGTCAAAGAATTGCAAAAGCCGTAGAAAATTCTGGTACATTCTTATTCTTTTCCTCCCACCCAAGACTACTCGCATTTGAGTTTCTCTCAAAATTTTAATATTTTAAATTCTCGTTCCGCGTCGTCAGTTCATATTCGCATTTATTATGATTGTTATGCTTAATTATGAGCATATGTATGAAAATTTGTAATAATATATTTGCAGTAACTGTTGAAGTATAGGTAAACTCCAAAAATGGGTGTGTTTTAATATGAATTAGCTTTTTAAGGAATAATATTCAGAATGGCTTAAATAAAGTGAAGGTAATCGAATAGTCAAAATAATGTAATTTTTTTTTGGCAATGCATTATACAGTACGTAAGTTGGGGGGGTGTCCTCCCTTTTCTCTGCAAAATCTTGAATATTGAAACCATTACAGTTCGCAGCAAAACAAGCAACAGACTTTTTTTGGGGTCATCTAGTCTGGATTGAATAGCACTAAACATTCTGTGGTCTACCAACCCAAGCGAAGAATGATTCTATTCCAGAAATTTAACACGGTCTGTTCAAAATTAGAATGAAAAACACCTGAGATTATAGTATGTCTCTTTCTTTTCCTTTATTTAGTTATTTATTCTCCAAATGCCGCCAGCTGTTTATTCTAATTGCATGTTATCACGTGCGGTAGAATTAAGCTTCATGTATTGTACAATAGCATTTGTGATATTTTGCAGAGATAATTTTGATGTTCAATCTGAGATTTGATTATGAGCACTTAAAAGGGTTTTACTGTGCTTGCTAAGTAGAATATTTTTCAGTTGCGTTGGGCTATTTCTATATGATGCACATATCGAAATGTCAAAAGCATTATTTAGCCAAAAAATCTAGAGTGGCTACAATAAACCCTCCCCCGTCTTTTTCCAGTTATGCTCGACTATCTGGAATTTTCAGAGTTTGCCAGTTAGTTAAGATTTTACTGTTAAAGGATGACTGCATGAAGCTATTTCCAGTCTTCTGATTTAAGAAATGTTCCTTTTTTTTATTTAACTTATTTTACTTGCAATATCTGTTAAGAGAAAACTGTTATACTATAAAAATTTAGAAAATTTTTAAAATTATTTAAACATTAGCAGGAGTGAAAAAATAAATTGTATTTATTAAGTGCCAAGCGAATATAATAAATATGGCTTATTATTTATTTTCTCTATTTTGAACTGAAATTTAATTTTTAAATCTTATAATATAGTTTAGTTCTGCATAGTTTTTGTCCTCTCATTGTAAACTAGTTCTGTTAATTGAATTTTTATTTAAAATTTGAGAAAAGATGTAATTATTTTCCATGGTTGAGGTAATGCTCATTTCCTCTTAATAAATATTGAATTGCTCATATTTTGAATAACCAGTCTAATTTTTCTTTTAAGGTTATGCAGTTGTGCATAATGTAATTAGACAGGTGCTTATTTTTTTTTTTTTTTTTTTCTTTTTCTTAAAATGTAGATAAGAGCTTATAGGTGCTTTTTTTTTTTTTTTTTTTTTTTTTTCTCTCCTCCTTAAAATGTAGATAAGAGCTTATAGATGCTTATTTTTTAAACTAAAATGCGGCTACTAACCCTGATTTCAGTTTTTAGTTTTGTACAAAACATGCAAGGTGGGTTGCCTTAAATTGATTTACATAAAAATTAGCTGTTCCAGACTATTTAAATAGAGTAAGAAATCAATCTTAACTAGCCAACAAAAAATTATATTTAACATTATAAAAAGGAAAAAGATTCATATCTGCATATTTTGAAGATAAAGAATGGTTGGACTGCCGATGGTAAGTTATGGGCCTACCATGGTCAATAACGGGTGACAGGGATCAGGATTCAATTCTGGAGAAGGAACCGAGAAGTGGCTTCCTCATCCAAGGAAAGCAGCAGGTGTGCAAATTACCCACTTCCTGAATGAAGAGGCAGTGATGAAAAATAACAACATGGAGCTCTTGTAAGACCCCATGGTGTTGCTATACCTGCTGTCCGGCATTCAGCCTTGCATCTGTACTCCATCATACTGGCCTGGAATGCCAAACTGAACATCAACATCATAATCAGAAGTGAATCTGAAAATCACCGATGAAAGAAAAAATATATCTGGTCCTTTTACAATCTGTAAAATGCTGTTGTGATTACTTGACCATGGTTTCATGTGGTCACCTGTAGTAGATGTCATTTGATCCATCATTGCATCCAGGTTTTTCATCATATCGATTAATGTGTCTGACAACTGTGACTTTGATGAGGACAATAAAATTTTTACCTGAGGTTAAAACCTGTCCTGTGCTGCATTCTCGGAATAGTGAATCATTTATCTTGTAAATTCTAGGCTTCTTTCTCTACTCATTAAAGTGTTACCTATTTTCTTCTTTTAATTTCATGATTTTTCTCTTAGTGCTATTTCTCATGACATCACATTCTGGCATTAGCTGATTTAAATATTTCTTTGGACCGTAAGTCTTCTTAATTTTTCACCTTCATACTGACAAGCAATTAAAATGGAATTAAATTAAAGCAATTAAATGCATATACCTTGTACTTCCTGTAGTTATACTATTTATTATTCTCTGTATGACTGCAACATACCTGAATAATTTGGTCGGATCTTCCTGAGGAATGTTTGATAAAACAGGTATCAGAATCACATGAATGTTTTTGATCTGCTCGTTTTCACTGTGTAATTCTAGTGGTAATGTTTGTTTTCTCTTCCTTCTTTGGTGCCATTAGCTTTAAACTCTCAATGTAAAAGCAATTCTGGAAGGGTTTCCAAATGTTAATTGTTGCTTTGTAACGACTTCCTGTGTGGATAGCGTTTTTGTGGGGTAAAACCACATTACAGTAAAAACATGTTGGTATTGTTTATTTGTCGAAGTTCAAGATCCACCTCTTTGATTGATAAATTCAAATTCCTACAAAATCAAAAGGTTTCAAAAATTGGATTGACTCATCAGTGGCCGAGCAGTAAAATCATTGAATGCTGGTAGTTCTGATCTGGGATTCTCGTGGTTTTCCCTATGTGTAATGTGTATACAAGACAGTGTTCCTTCAAAAGTCCTCCACCAAGGAATCCATTCTTGTGAGCAGATTGCCCTAGTGTGCTTTGCCACAGTCAATTAAATAAATGAAATTTTGAAGTGTCAACCAAGATGGTGTCCTGGATAATATATCCGTATTATAATAGTTATAAGTGTGACTTTCCACCACTTAAGAAATATCATCATTGTCATTAATATCTATCTCAATGCTAGCCAAACTCTTAAGACGAATGAATAGACAAAAAAAGTACAGTGTACAGATTATGTGATTTGTGGATTATCCATGCATGACAGTGCCCATGCATGCATTTTAAACACTATGTATGAGAGAAGCAAAAGCTTGGTCAGACGTAAAACCAATAACACTGATTAGATCATGGAGAAAGCTAATATTGAAATCAAAGATATGTCTAATTGTGAAGAAGTCAAGACAGTAGTAATTGCTGTTGCAGAGTTGCCAACTGTCCTGATTAAGGCGGGAGGCTCCCGATTTACAATATATTTCTCCCGACTTTTTCTTATTCTTAATATTTCTCACAATTTTTATGGAACTTGGCTTAATACTTCGTTATATGAACAAAGCAAAAAAAGAAAGTGATTTTGGAGGTATGAAAGCAACTGAATTTTCTCTAGATTATATCTAAAATAAAACCTTGTGAATCAGATGAGAATTTCTGCTTTGTGAGTGACAGCATATGTATCCAGAAACGTCATTCTCCAGTTCTTCAATGGGCATCGAGCTCCACTGCGTGTCATCTGGCATATATTAGCCAATGAGCACAAAGCAAGCTCAAGGCCGTTGGCCGTTATTCGGATGTTCTTTCGTTATTTCGTTCACTTGTCCTGAGTTGTGTGAGTACACGTGCCTTTGGGAAATAGTTTTAGAAATTATCATCTTTTGTTATGTCTGCGAGAAAGGTAAAATACTCGTGCACGCTTCAAAAATCGTACACAGTTGACTTTCCTTCCATTATTTCCTCAAGGAAATGTAATAAATTTGCGATGTGTACCATCTGTCGTTGTGATTTTTCGATTTCGCATGGTGGAAGGGCAGATGTTCTCAAACATGTGCATACACAAAAACACAAGGAACAACATGAGATGTTTTGAAAAAAAAAAAAAAAAAGAAGAATTAAATTTTTCATTCGGAAACAAAAGACCAAAAAGTGATTAATGCAGAATGTCTGTTCTCTGCCTTTTTTTTTAGTGGAAGCACAACCTTGCCACTAAATGCATCGGATCATGCTGCAGCTTTATTTAGAAAAATATTTCCCGATAGTGAAATCGCTAAGAAATACTCAAGTGCAAGGATCAAAACAGGTGCAATTGTTAAAGAAATGGGTTTGAAAAATAAATCTTCAGTTATTGATTGCATTAAAACAGCTCCATTTCTGCCTCTCTATGGATGGAAGCAATAATACCGATTCAAACTGTATCCAATTGTTGTTTCTTTTTTTAATCCAAAGTCTTCAGAAATTGCATGCAGTTTACTTTCTGTCCCCACTATAGAAGGACATTCGACAGGCTTTAATATAGCACAGCTATTAAAACTATTAACACTATTATTACAGCTATTAAA